TAGTTTTATGAAAAAAAAAAAAGAACGGGTCTTTAATCTGAAATACTTTTAAAATAAATCATATTAAAAAATTGTAAAAAAAAAAAAAAGACAACGTCACACCTTACTTCACCATGGAACCTCTTCCCAAAATAATAATAAAACGATTCTCATAAATTAAACTTTTTTATGAGCTTTTATAATTTTTTTAACAGAGGGTGCTTTTGAGATTCACTAGACAAACCAACTTCTTCCCTGAGTCAAACACTCCACAAGCCATACAAGCAGGAGAAAGAAAAGAAATGAAAATGAAAATGAAAATTTTCTTTTTGTTTTTAATTGAAACTTTTGTGTCTGTAAACAGAGAATTGAAACATAAAAAAAAAAAAATCCATCAAATGAAAATGAAAATTTTCTTTTTTTTTTTTAATTGAAACTTTTGTGTAGGTAAACAGAGAACTGAAACATAAAAATCCATCTAACCAAAACAAAAGACGAAAGTCTATTTTTGTTTTCTTAAAAAGTTCGTATACTTTTTGTAATAGGTGCCAAATTTTTAAGAAAATAAATAATTTCTTAAACATGTTTTTGGAACTAGTTTTTTTAATTTTTGGAATCATACAAGCCCCAACGGATGCAAGAAAAAAAGGCAAAATTAAAGATTTAGTTATAGACACAGAAAAGAGAAATGAAGATTGGAATTACAAAGTAATTTACTTGGCTTTTGCGCAAAGTGGCTTTTGTGGTTTGTGAAGAACAGGTTCAACACTCGTGGGATTATATGATGATTGTGCCCCGTAATGGTTGGATTAAGAATACTCTGGTCAAATGGCAACTTTAATTTGGTCCACTCGGGCATGGGCGGAACCTCCTTGAATCAAATTGATTCAATGGATGATGGAGTCAACGAACCATATTCGAAATTATATAAATAGTAGAACCTAGTACCAAACCTTAATTAATTAATTATTCCAATACATTTGCATTAGTCTGATTCTGATGAAGCTTTAAAATATGCACAAATCAAAGGTAATACGTGTAGTCTCAGTTGCGAATAGAATTAATTATAAATTATAAATTAAGTAAGAATATTTATGTAAACAAAAATTATAAATTAAATTATAAATTCAGTTCTAATTTCATTTTTTATACAAAGTATCGAGTTGGTTACAACTTACTATTTTTATTAAAAAATAGGTGAGCTTGAAAAACCTGGGTATAAATAAAATAAAGTTGACAAAAGTGACATTTATGTTATATTTTATAAGTAAAAGTGGATAAAAAATTTTAATTTGTTCAAATAAAAATTTATTTTAGCTATCACTATAATTTTAATATATTTATTTTACATTTAAAAATATAGTAAATAAAATTTTAAGCAATTCCACAGAAAGGTCCACGTAAATGTGTTTGCCAAGTCTAGCTTTAATCAAAAATTAAGGAGGTTGTAAGAGTTCCTCGCGCGTATGGATGACAATGGGGCAGGTAATATTATCTATATTTGGGTAGGAAAATTATCAATATATCTATTCTCGTATCTAGCTAAGTCTTAATTTTAATTTCTACTCCTGTATCTATTAGATAATACTATATTCATCATCGCATTCGTCCTTGTATACCTCTTTAAATATAATTCATTTTTTTAAAAAAAATTCTTCTATAATCTCAAAAAAATACAATTATAATAATTTCAAAATATAGTTAAAATTAATAATACAACTGAAAAAAAAAAAAAAAGAGTTGCAACGTCATACAACACACTTGCCACATAGGCGAGAATAATAAAACTAAGATAATTTAAATATATATATATATATATATTATACGAATGGGTTAAATATTACTGTATCCATTTTCATATCTTTACTTGGTCAAACACCGTTAAAATCTCTAAATTTATCCACACGTCCATTTCTAATTATTTATATCTGGATCCGACCGGCTAAAATTTGTGAGAGGCTGTGAGATATAGAAAAAATTTTCATTCTTGCTTGCGAGACCACCTCCAATGAATTTTTTTAAGTATTGCACGGAAGAAACTCATGGTCAATTATTTTTGGATGGAGACAGTTACATATATTTTAGCACAAACCAAAATCAGTCCAATGTACTTAAAGAGCAAGATAGGATTAATTTGAATAAACCCGAAATAACTTAACCAAACCCGATGTCAACTTGAATTAAAATATGTGGAATTACAAATATATAATTTTTAATTTGAGAAGCTATTTGTTTTATTGGTCCAAGTCTGTTTTACATAATATTTTTTTAAGTCCACAAAAAAAAAAAAAAATCAACGCTCCAATTTTAGCCAATAAATAATTCTAGGTTCAACTGACCTAAGGGTTTTTCCATCTAGCTTGGTGGAGTTGTTTCATTTGAACGCAAGTTTGCGTGGGTTCACGCGTATCAGATAATTTCTTTTTTGTTTGACCTTTTTATTAATATTTATAAAATATTTTCTTAAATTAAAATTATAAATTTAATAGGTATGAGTAAATATAATAATACAATTATTTATTTATAAAATTAACTTGAATTCAATTCGGTGAAAACGTACTCTGGACCAAGATAATCATTGCATTTTGAATATATCCTAAAACAAATCAAAATATTTGTTGTAAATTCCTAAAAATAAAAATTAAAATTGTAAAATACCTAAAAATAAAGATTAAACATAACATCTCAAGCAAATCCTACATAAAAAAAAAATATGAGAGAAATGTTAAACCTATAAGTATACAACCCCAATACCTGGTAGACATATTTTAAAATCGTACATAGCTTGATCTAAAGCGGATAATATATTGGCATGTGACAAAATGGTATTAAAGCCACTCCGCATACAAACTTGAACAGTGGTGGAGTAAACTTCAGTTAGAATTCTGAGTCTCAAATGAGAGTATATGTAACACTTTAAACAAATCTCACATCAATAAAATACAGAAAAAATGCTGACTTTATAAATATGCATGCCCCTCAGTACTTAATAGACGTATTGTAAAACTGTGTAAATCTTGACTTAAAGTAGATAATATTTATTAGTGGACTAGACCATAACATTAAAATTGTGAAAAACTTGAGTTTAAAGTTGATAAGGGAAAATGTATCTAAAACCTTGGCCAAACACATTTTTTGTTCGACAACTTCCATCAAACAACGTATTAGGACCAGGTTGGGAGATTTGGCTAAACCTTCCGTGTAGAGGAAGATTTTACCAAATTCACTCTTTTCTAGGGCTCACTCATAAATAAAAATTATTTTGGGTTATTTTTTAAATAAGTTGAACATTTATGATTTTTAACTCACTTTTATTTAAACCTTGTAATTAAATAAAAATTTATTTCATTTAAACTTATTTTTCAAATATATTTTATGTAAACATACTTTTCTTAAACTCATTTTTTCTAGATTTATTTTTTTTTATAAATCTGGTAATAAATGAGTTCCTAAATTGTAGATATTGTCAACACTCAAAATGCATGAGACCAAAATGGACAAATTTATGTTAATACTGATAAATTTCTTATCAAAATAATTTTTTTAGAAATTATTTATAAAAATATGTTAAATTTTATTTATGTTGAGAAATCAGTTTTGGAGAACTAATTCTTTACTTAAAAAAATTAACATAATTTTTTTGTCAATCTGTCAATCTATTTTCATAAATAAACAAATTAATATTCATATATATTTGATAACCAAAATATTTTACACATGTTATTTCCTGCATACATATATATATATATATATTTTGGGTATAATGTTTCATATATTATTTTATTACACGAAGAAGCGGGAAAGTTCGCATAATACAAGGAAATAGTGATCTTGACCGAAGAGTGGGTTTGGTAAAGATCACATGGCCAGCGGCGCAGCAGGTCTACTTGGGGTAGACGAATCTGCTCAACATAATACCATAATCCTTAGGCTTTACACCGTGCATTTCCAACACATGAAGCTAGGCCAAACGGCGGACATCCTACGTCGTCGATCAACTTAGCTTTAATTTTGGCCGTTGGATGATCATGGACCCCATAGCGTTTAGTGTCAACACGCGACGTGAAGATTCGGTCTATTTCGTGACGAAAGAAACTCCAATGACCAAAAGGCTAACACAGGCGTCATGTCAGGGAGTGCGACCGGTGAATAAATCCCCTGCAAATGGGAGGAAACTCTCGGCTTTTTTATTATTTTTTTAGTTTGACAAAAATGAATTTTAAAATATAAGTGTAATTTAAATATAAAATAAATGAATTATTTTAAAATTATTTTATTAAATTAAATATTTTTTTACATTTTACTTTCACCAATTTTATATTTAAACAATAAAACCTTTTTATGTTAATTTATTTTCTTTGAATTTACTGTTAAACAAGTCACTATACAACTTCAAAATATGAGTTTATGGACTTGGTGTGTGTGTGTGTGTGTGTGTGTATATATATATATATTAGGCAACAAAGTATAAGACATCATTTGATCGGAATTTAACATATGCCAGCTATAATACTAGTAAAATTTTCATTCAAGTAAGAAACTGGATTATTTTGATAAAAGTAAAAATATAAATTTGATTTTGAAAGTGTATTTACGGAGGGAGTTTTATCTTTCACATTTCATAGGCTAAATTGGTCAGAAATACCTCAGATTTAAAAAACAAAAAAACAAAAAACAACTATAGTTCCTGTCTACACGAAGCCACGCGGCTGTGAATACGCAAATTGTTTCTTTTTTAGATTTTAGGTATTTATTATATTTCCCGGTATCTGCTTTAGGATTTCTGTTGGGTTTCGGGTCCTTTCATTCTCACTTTCTGTCGCCATATTGCAGGCTTGCAGCCCACGCCTCTCTCTCTCTCTCTCTCTCTCCCTCTCTCTCACACACACACACACACACACTGGCATTCACCTGGGATTTCAGAGGCCCAACAAGTTCTGGCCTAGAAACCTGATTCTGGTTTGAATTTGATTTTTTTTAACCTGGTCTACTCGGTGTTATTCTGAGTTATTTGCGTTTAGTATATGGCGAATAGGTGGAAAGGATGGTTGAAGATCGTTTATGTGGTTTTTGCATTTTGTTCTGCCTTCTGTTTGGGTGCTATCAAGGGTTGGTTCTTCTTCTTCTTCTTCGTTTCCTTTTCCATTTTTTTCTTAATCTTTTTATTGTTGTTAACGTTTTATGCATAATTTTACCTGTATCAGGTTTAATGGTGGGTCCAATTGCCGGGCTGATTCTGATAGTAGGGAACATTGCGGTGATTCTCGGTCTTTTCCCTTCGCATGTTGCTTGGACTGTATACACCCTGATCAAGTAATTTCTTCTGAAGCTCTTGTTCTCGTTTATGCTGTGAATTTGGTCAAAAGGGTGTTAAAAGTTTGGATGGTTCTTCGGTTTCTTACTTAAATTTTGTTGTTTCAGGACTAATAAGTTTGACGCGCCACTTAAGGTGGCTTTCTTCTTTGCTTTGCCTGTTCTGTTTGGAATTTGGTTGGGTCTGAGCATCGCTGGCAGTGTTCTTGTGGGTGTTGGTTATGGTTTCTTCACTCCCTGGATGTCCGCCTTTGAGGCTTTCAGGCATGAAAATGAGTTCAAGAAATTCTTACACTGCATTGTGGTAAACTAGGTTTCTCTGTTGATACTGGGTTTTATTGTGGTATTTAATTTAGGGTCAATTTGAATTTGTTTTGGAAAATTGTTTTCTATTTTTGGGAAATGAAACCAGTTTTATATACTGTTTTTGAGAACTCCTTTTTCGGAGAATCTTCGAAGAGCATGCCCATTTTTTAGAAAATATGTAACTAGAAGTTTTCAAATTCTGGGAGACTTTTCTTGATTTCTGGTCTTTTCTGTTAAGACAGAGAGAGAGAGAGAGAGCGGAAAACGTATGCAAATCCAAACAGCATTGACTTGATTTCCTTCTTGTCTTTTTGTAAACGCTTTAGGATGGAACATGGGAAACTATCAAAGGAAGCTGTACTGTTGTTCGGGATTTTGCAGATATTTGCAATCATTCATACCCTCTATACTTGAAGGAATTGCGCGATTCCCCAAGTTCAAATAGACTTCAACCTCTTAGGTATGGGTGGTTTAAAACCAAAACTATTTCCTTTCTCTAATTAAGATGTTAAGGGACTGTGTAACCCTAGTCTCTATAAATTTATAGTTATAGAAGGTGTGGCAAATTTTCTAGTTCATGTCTTAATTCATGTCGAAGAAATCTTGCCTGGATTAAAATGACTCATAACTTTACTAAATTATTAACCATTCATTTATAGTAAAAATGAGATGAATTGTGTCAAACTTGTGTCAACATCTTGTTGTTGTGTTGTATTGAACTATATTGGCAACCCAGCTGGCTTTGGACTATTTCTTGAAAAAATTTATATTAAGACTAAGTTAAATGGAAGGTTTCTACTCATTTGAAGCCATCCTGTAGGTTTATTCATGTGCCTGGATGCATAATTGTCGGCTTGGTGGGACTAGTAGTGGAGATTCCTCTTTACACGGCTATTGCTTTGGCGAAGAGTCCATGCATGTTGTTCAAGGGGTGGCAAAGACTGATACATGATCTCATCAGCCGTGAAGGCCCATTTCTAGAAACAGCTTGCATCCCAATTGCTGGTTTGACAATCCTCATGTGGCCTCTTGTTGTCATTGGAAGCATCATAATGGCAATTTTCTCAAGCTTCTTTATAGGATTGTATGCCTCAGTTGTAGTATACCAGGTTCCTTTCTGTTCTTAGTTCTTATTTTCTGTGCCTTAAAAAACAGTAAACACTGAGAATTTTGAAAAGCTTTATTGCTTTCACCTTTAAACAGACTACTTTCAGAAAATTCTGAAACCAAAAACTTATCTTGTATTCTAAAATGGGCTATTTTCTAAAAGTTCTCCATGGACAGTATCTGCAAACAACCTGCCAAATGGGTTTTCTGTTTCCAAAAACAAATCCAAACAGGGTGTCGTAGGCACGCTGCTTCTAAGTGTATTCTTACCCATTTCATATACTTTCAGGAAAGGTCTTTTAGAAGGGGGGTTTCTTATGTGATTGCCATGGTTGCTGAGTTTGATGAGTACACAAATGATTGGCTTTATCTTCGAGAGGGATCAATCCTCCCAAAGTAAACATTCTTCAAATTGTTCTGCTTTCGTCATCACAATGAAATGATAAGTATTGTCTTTAACAATAGAAATTACCTTTGATCTCAGCCAGGCCCCAATACCGAAAGAAGGAATTCCCTCAGTCAACACATGGAGGGAACCAGTTGCCTCCAGACAAAATCAGCTCTATTATAAAAGAAGCACCTCCAATGCTGATGCCAAGCCTGTCATCTTCAAGATCAGTCAGAGAGGCAATACAAGAAGTGAAAATGTTTCAGGTATATTCTTATCTGTAGTAGGGAGCATTAAAGCCTTTTCTATTTCCTCAGTTAAATAACATAAAAATCCTTCTAAAGATTAGGGAGGTGTGATTAACTGATAAATGGTCCTTGGTTTAGTTAGTTGGCTACTCCATGAACTTTTAGAGCAATGACTATGTTTCTATGGACTAGCTGAGTAGAAAAACAGAATTTTTGAAGAGAAAATAATTTGCATCTTCTACTATGTTTCCAGGTAATACAATGTTTGGATTTGTTTCTTAAAAAATTGCTTCTGCGAATAGAACTCATTTGGCAGAATGTTTCCAATAACTGTTATTGTGAGAATTTTGATAAATGAATCCATTTTTAGAAAACGAGAGGTTATTTTCATATTTCTTAGAAACTAACTTTGCTTGAAAATGAATATGTTTTGAAACCACTAGAGTTTTCAAGATTCTCAAAAACCAAAAACTAGGAACAGAAGACAGATGACAGAAAACAGATCCATACAGATTAGTAGGAGAGTTTCTGATTTTTCATTTTCAGGACTATATATTGATTAATGTTGTCTTTCGGATGAAATGACAAAATGTGACAGATCTGGGAAAACGCTATGAAGTCCTGTGAAACAAAGGGCAAAGCATTGCTAGATGCTAATGTTATAACACCAGGTGATCTATATGAATGGCTAAGAGCAAAAAATAGTGATGAAGCTTCAATTATTGGCGTAGGATTGCCTTGTTATGCCCTCTTGCAGACCATTTTTTACTCCATCAAGGTTGGATCAGACGGTCTGCTTCTTATTGATAACTTTGAAATCAACTACTTAAATAGGCCCCAGGATAGATTGTTGGACTGGTTCTTTCAACCTGTAATGGTGCTGAAGGAGCAGATAAGGGTCATAGAATTGGAAGAGGCGGAGGCGAGGTTCCTTGAGAAAGTTGTTCTCTTTGGAAATAACAGCCGGCGGATGGAGGCTTGGGAAAATGGCAGTTTGGTGCCCCAAGATGCTCTTAGAGCTGCTCAAATCCAGGGGATTAGCAGAAGGTAAATGATTCCGTTTAGATTTAAAATTTTTCTGTTTTCTGTTCTCAGTTTTCTATTTTTTTGTTTTGGAAAACAGAAAATTGAAAATCTTAAGAACTCTATTGTCTTCATTTCATTTTTATTATTGAGCACAAATTGATTATAAGCATACTAAAGTCAACTTTCTCCTGTTTTTAAAAAAAGGGCCTGTGTTCTGAAAACTCTTCAGAAAACATTTTTCAGAAACAATCTGCCAAATGGTTGAAGTTACAATAGTTGAAAACTGATTTCTAAAATAAATCCAAACAAGGTCTCCAATCTTTGTTAAATTCATGCTTACATTTCTTATCATTTTTTTTCTTCTTTGCTGTACAAAGTTATTTTTGTCAAAAACTTTTTTCTCAAGAAGCAATTTGGATGGGAGAAAATTTTCAATTGATCAAATGACTTTGCTCTTTGTTTCCCCATTTGATTAGGATGAAATTAACTGATGTCAGTACTGAAAGTTTCTATTTTCCAACACTTATGCAGGATGATGGGAATGACGAGAAGTATATCCAAGTTCCCCACTTACAGAAGGAGATTTAAGCAGATTGTCAAGGCCTTAATCATATATTCTAAAGAAAAGGAAGGCTCTAACAGATCCATTTCGACACGATCAGTTGCCACCATTGAAGTTGCGTAAGAACAACTTTTTGGCCTTTTTCTTTGGTTTGTGTGAATGTAAATTCAAGTCGTTAGGAAATATTTTAGGTTGTGATGATCACAGAGAAAGTGATGCTAGTTTATGGGGGTTTTTCTTGAGGGATTTACGCTAGCATACAAATAATCCCGTGACAAATATTATAACTTTCTTTCCTTTTGGTTTCTGGGTATTGGGGACTGAGAGGAAGAGGATTACAACATGTCCATGAGGCTGGAAACTAATCCTAAATAGGGATTAATGATAATTGTTTAATGATATCTTATCTAATCCTAAATTAAAGTTCAATGATTTTTGTTTATTGGAATGAAAAGGTAGAAGATTAGGTTTTCTGTTCCCATTTTAGTTGTATCTTAAATCTTTAACTTTACAATACCGGTCATTGATTGTGAAGGATTTTAGTGTTTTGAAAATTGTTTATTTTGATATTATGTTGTAACGACTCAAGAGAGTTGTTAATTTTAACAATTGATTAAATCTTAATCACTAATTTAAAATATTTAAATTTTTAAGTTGTAAATTCTGAATAGTTTTACGTACTTTATAATTTTAATACCAATTATTAAACAAAAAATATAAGATTCCTCATAAATGAAGAAACCCTCGTGGTGGTCCTGGCCTCTTTCGTCGTCTTCCACCACCATTTTTTACAGCAAGCAACCAGGCCGTCGGGATCGGCTCCACCAGATGAAGGTTCTTACCATAAAAAACCAGTACATTCCCAACAATCAGTAGTGAAAGTAGAGGATGCATGTCCAAGTTATCCGGAAATTTTGAGGTCCTATTTTCAATTTTTAATTCCAGAAACTTGTAAAAAAATTCTGAAGCTCACAAACGCATCAGGAAAATAAACCCGTTATCTCGTGATGGAGTTTAGTAATTACAATTTTAAAATTTACGGAAAATTCATGTCTGCCACAAGAGAAATATTAAATTTACGGTAATTTTTTTTTTTTTTAAATCTTCTTTCTACAATTTCCTCTCGCCTGTGCAAGTGGGTCGTGGATAACGGGTTGTGGAAAAGGACGAAATCTTTCTGGCAGAAGTACCTGTCCATATGCCATCAGAGATTCTACAATCACAATTACACACACACACACTACTCGTTGTCTAAATACGAACTCTTTTAGGTAATCTCCATGCAAGGGCAGAAAAATTAACAAAACAAATAAGCGAGTGTTTAGCAATTAAAATTATTTGAACTAATTTTTTTTATGATAACGTAAAAATTTTTTTTTTTTAATATTGATATAAAAAAAGTTAATTTTTCAACATAAAAAGTTCCTAAAATAAGATGTTCATTTTTAAAACTTTTCTAATTTTGTATGGTACAAAGTATGGCAAAATTGTCCAAGTCTTGTGCGGGATTTATTATTATTTATTGTTATTATTATATACTTGCCCCAACTGGGGCCTCTGACCATGGAAGCAAGAGGTATCTTTGCCCAATGCGGAAAGAATCTCCATCACTACCCACGACAGGGTAGGGGATATACGGCATGTGCCCGCATATTCTCCTTCCTTTCTTTCCTCTCGTGCTGTTTCATTAACGGGAGTTTTTAAATGCTTTTTAAAAATTAGAAATTAATATTTAAAAAAAATAAGTAAAATTATATTTTAATCAAAAATAAAAGTATTTATAAATTGTGTAAAAATTTTTTTGGAAATTAGTAAAATAACTTTTCAAATATAATTTTGTAAAATAATTGTAGAGAAGTTTTTAAAACTAAAAAAGTTATTTCACCTTTATATATATAATTTTTTTATTCTATATTTTTACTATCACTCATTATTTTTTTTCATTTTTCCTTCTCTCTCTCTCTCTCTTTATTTCTTCATGCAGGCAACTCTTCTCTCCTGGCCCTAATTCCTCCTCTAGTATTCTTCATTTTTACTTGGTCTGGAAATGGATTCTAAATAATTAACAATCCAATCACAATTCTGTAGATTGACATCAAAACCTAACTAATTGCAAGTTTGAGATTAGCCGCACGTAGCAGTGCCATTGTCATTGTATGTGGCAATATGTCTTGTCGCTACATGCGGAGTTTAACGTCACTGCATGCAGTCGCGATTACTGCTACTGCGCATAGGGGAGATCTCTTCTAGCCTACAGTTAGTGGCCAAATTTTTTTACTTTTTTTTTTTGAGTTGTGCAAAACTTATCAGGCATAGCTTCGAACATGACTCTGCGACTACTAGGACATGCAACCAACATTTATTATTCATTAGCAACACTAGGTAGCACTAGAACCGGTGACGATAACAGTGTGATGGCCAACCAACAATGATTGCTTAGCGGTAGTTTTCTAACTGAGAGGAAGAGAGAAGAAAAAGATAAAGATAGTTTAGGGATAAAAAAAATACGTAAAGATAAAGATATTTAAAATTATATTATAACAATTTATTTTTAATTACAAAAATGTCACTAAAATTAAAAATATTTTATCTCCGATCTTCAAAATTTTTATTTTTATTTACTTAAATTTAAAAAATTTAAAAATAAAAATAAATTTACAAATATTCATAAGTAATTTTCAATTATTAAAAAGATGAGAAACTGTACAGAGAAGCCTGTGCATGCTTCCGCTTAGTTTCCTATTACTAATTTATTAATCTCCCCCACATTAATTATAAAGCGCATACCATTTTCAGAAGTAACAGCACTGACAATGACCCAACCAAAAACATTATCCTAATTTTATTAATAATCTCTCATCCAAAATGAATTAAATAAATTATTAAATACGTTTTCAAATTTTTTTTAGCTTTAAATACTAGACGAGGGGCAAAATGGACTCGGGCCGTTATATCTTCTCTCACAAAAGGGGAAAAAAAAACTCAAATGTTGAACCGTAATTGACTCTGGTTATTTTGTTTGACTAGGGTAAAGCTGAAAGTTGAAACCCAACTCTAGTCCACACGGCATGGGATCAGCTTTTCGTTCTCCAACACGTGCCCTTTGCTTCCCCGGTACGGTGCGTGCAGTTTACCCACCCGGGGCACAAATACTCAGATAAAAAATGATTTAATAAAAAAATAAAAAATACTCTCTATTTCAAATTTATTTAAATAATATTTAATTTTATTTTTTATCATAAAAAGATACTTTTATCCTATTAAATATTAGTTGTTTAACGATCTTATAAGAGAAGAGGTGGATGTAATCCTATTTTATCAATTAATTATTTAATTAAAAATTAAAATATTATTTAATTTATTTAAAAATTTTAATTTTTTAATTAAAATTTTTAAAAATATAATATATTTTATTATTTTTTAATTTTTATTTTATGATATTTTAATCTTATTTATTTTTTAGTTTAAATTATACTAAATTTTTAATTTAAATGACGTTTAAATATTCTTATTTTAATATTTAAAATAAAAATAAAAATATAATAAAATAAAATATAAATTATTTAATAATTTAAAATAATAATATTAAATTATCAAAGTTAGACTTTTAAAAAAATTAAAAATTAGAAATTTTTAAAATAAGTGAATTATAGGATGTTTTAATTTTTAATCAGATAGATAATCAAAATGTGTGAAATTAAATTACTTTCACATTTTTTTAACAAAATTATTAAGTAATCATTAATCAATAATTAGTTAAAGAAAAAAAAATTTCATGATAATAATAAACTTGAGTACCATTTAAGTAAACTTGAAAAATGAGAGTATTTTTTATTTAAATAAAAACATAAAAATAATTATAAATGAGAAATGTGTTCAGACTCTTGCATTCTTTTTTCAAAAAATAAAAATAAAAATATTCATGATATATCAATTAAAATTATTTATTGAGTAAAAATATTTTAATAAGAACAATCGAATAAATATTGTTCTTAATTTTTGGAGATGTAATTTATATTTTATTCCATTTTCTAATAATTTTTAAAAATGAAATTTCAGCGTGCATCCCAAACTTCAAAAATAATCTGAACCGTTGGACGGCGGCAGAAAAAGGACATAACAGAAAAGAAAAGTTAAAGAATAATTACGAAAGAAAACGAGTAAAAGCTGATCACCAATTGAGCAATAAATGACTTTCACTGATGGAATTGTCTAATAATTGGAGAATGAGAGGAATTAATTGGGGAAGAAAAAGTTAAAATAGATGACTCTGTTACGTCCAAATTCGTACCCGTGGACGGCGTGCAGAGGGGAAGCTGTCACGGAATTTGGGCCTGAGAAGAACTTTTCTCTCTCATGGGTGCAATTTTACAAAAGCAGCTTCTCCTTCCGTGTGTGGCGGTTCCAAGACAGAGTTTCTTCTTCCAGAAAAGAGCAAGCTGCACATATCAGCTAGAGAACAAAAAGAAATAGAAGGGCCAGCTCCCTAATTGAATCCGAAATAGCGCTAAATCCTGGATTGAACTAGTGATTGAGAGGAAGATGCCATTATCGGCTTCAGGCCGTGCTTTCTTCTTCATGGTTTCAGTCGAACCCACTCGAAGCGACCTTCCAATGGCTTGTCCTTGGCTATGTCGAAGTTGTACCTGCACAAATGAGTTCGGACTCTCAGGCGCTAAATTAGGGTTAACAAGAAGACTAGGAAACTGTAGAGATGCTGACTTCTCTGCAAACTGTTTCTGGTGCTCCTTCTCCGTAGAAGCGAAGAATTCTTCAAGCTCGGCTTCTGATGGCATTTCCTTGGCCTGCGATCTCCGCGAGAATTGACCTCCGACGATGTGGCTGTTGAATCCAGCTCGCCTGATCCCGCTGGTAGCGACGTCTCTCTACTGCGATATGAGAAATTGGGAGTTACGAAGAAGAAGGTGAGAGTGTGAACTGAACAGGTGAAATTGAATGGCAGACCGTTGTAGATCACTCCTTTTAAATTTCGAATTAAAAATACAAGAAGTAAAGATCGCATTAGTATGAAAATTAAACCGTCAATGTGAAACATACCTCTTGCTGCAGTCCAAAACGCACGTCGATGTCTCAAGTTGAACATTGTCATCCTGCAAAACATA